CAAAGTGGCTGTACCAACTTGCATTCCCACCAACAGTGTAAGAGGGTTCCCCTTTCTCCACAACCTTTCCAACATTTGTTGTTTCTTGCCTTGTCATTTTTTGTCGTTCTAACTGGTGTATTTTAGAAAAGCCTGATTCAAAGAACCATTAACTAGATTATGTCATTTCAAAACCTGACATAATTATGTGATGATACTGAAAATTGAAGCTTATTTTAAAAACTTGGAAATTTCTGGATCCAGTGCAATGAAATGAATTAACTTGCTTTCAGAATATACATATATTGCTTCCTTTAAGAAAGAATTCCTTTATGAGAGCAGAGGGGCTCTCCCTGACAAAGGTAAAGGCAAAGTTTGTTGGTGCCTAGTCTGTGGAGCCAGGTGTCATCATCACAGCCCATGAGGCCATCCTGTGTCTCCCTCACAGAGCTGTGATGCAAGCTTGCTTCAAACTCGAGCCCCCAAGAACAGCTGCACCACACATGGAGAGACAGGGAGTGTGTTTTCATTGTTTCAGGATGATGACGAAATGCAATTACTATACAAGCTAAAAATCTCAGAAAAAGTCTAGAAATATTTCAAAGATGAGCTTTGGAGCAAATCTTCCTGTCTGTCCCTCCAGTCCTGCTGGTATGTCTTTGATGTTGTGTCACCAGTGGTGTTAGTAGTTGGTAGGACAATAAAAATGGTGGGATTTAAAATACAGTTGATTTAAATTCATTTTCAGGTCTTTATCAGTTTATACCTGTTCAGTAAGTTTGGATACTTTTGTAGCTATGACCCTGAGTGCTCATTGAAATATACCTCTGAGATCCTAGTAGATATAATTACCTGCCAAGATAGAATAGGAAATATTTTAAAAAACCACTCCTTTGATTAGAGTTACCAGATTTTTTGACAGATACATATTCAAATAAGGGGTTTAACCAAGATATCACACATGGCCTACTGTAATTCCCATGGATACCACTGCACTTTTACTAATTTCTTTCCAATTGCTTTGGTTTTACAGGAGGAAATAATAAGATACTAGTAAGATACTAGACTTGAGAAGAACAGAATTTATGTGAGGAAACTCAGGTTTTGGGTTGTTCTCCCAAATAGTGGTTGTTGCTATTTATCTGTTCAAGCTTAAGTATAAAATATGCATTTTGAAGTGTGTAAGAGATGTAGGGTTCCCTTTCTGCTTTGGTTGATTTTCCATTTGGGTGGAAGAGTTAGGGTGCAGTCCTTCCTAGAGTTTACAGTGGATAGGAAGGAGGAGTAAGTTTGGAAATGAAACTTAATATCATTTGAGCTTCTCCCTAAAGCAGATGCACTTTCAGTAGAGACTTCAGGGCAATTCAGTAGCAGTGCATTTTGCATAAATAAGGACACGGTCTCTATCTCAGTCCATTCACATCGACTTTTATCTGAGATACTGTCCCCTGAGAAATGCCACTAATGCTCCAAAGGAGGTGGTATCCAGCAGAAATAAACCAGCACATAATCCGTATCTGTAGAAATAAATAAAATGAGATTTAGAAGGCTTCCTAGGTTCTCCCATTGTTGTCGAACTAGATAAAGTGCAGAAAAGTGTGGCATTGGAAAAGCGATTGAATTCTGGCTAGAGATGAAAATGCTGCAATTGAAAACTTTCCAGAACAACATGTACTTGGATCCGTATTAAAGAAGAATTCTTTGAGTGTTTAAGCCAAATGACCCAGCAGGGTTGATAGTGTGAGGCATATTTCACAGTTGTATAAATATTTAAAACTGCTTCCCAGCCTATAAAAACAAGTAAATTAGGTTTTGTTTTGTTTTGTTTTTTTTTAAATTTCAGGACGAAATTAACCTGCCCACCTTAACTTGTTGGGGAACCTGTCCTCAGCCCAGCCTGCTCTCTTAAAAGATGATTGCTGGGAAAGAAGTGTGAGGAAGGTTTTTAACTCAGAAAACAAAGCTGGTTTCTGTTTCAGAGAATTTCAGAAGGGATGATTAGCAACATGGTCTACTGCCACAGGTGGTCTGTTTCCAGATGGCCTGTCTCCCCAACATGTCACAAGGGGCCCAGCCAGCTAAACACAATAGCTTTTTATCATAAACCCTTTTGAACCTGGTGAAGGGTAGACTAGGGGCTCCATTATATACATAAGCCCAAAAGAAAACAGGGCAGCACCTCAGCCAGGTTGTTCTCAATTCTGAGCTGTTGGTCCTAGCCATTAAAGTGCCACCAAGCCTGTCCTTCAGTCACAGTGCTTATGGATGATTGGTGGGTGTTCTTCCTCATTCAGTCTTCCAAGGCTGCTTTTATCACTCATTGTTCATGTCCTTTCCAAAATTTTTATTCTTTTCCTCTTGCATTTTAGCTATTGCCCGAGACCACTTTTCTTTACCTCTGGTTAAACAGACTGTGGAGACAATGGCAGTGATGTTTTATTTCTATATTTTTAAATATAGAGTCTGAAAAGAACGTCAATGACTGAATTTATTACTGCCCCCCCCACCCCCCGCCATCCCTACTGGCCACTGTTCTGGTCAAGGAAACATAAGTAAGAGTTAATAGCTGGTATATAAAGCTGGCACCATGGGTGATGGAAAGATCACATAGCCAAGGGTTAAGCGTCTTGAGTTAGTCCCAGGGATACCCCTAACTCACTGGGTATCCTTGGGCAAATCATTTGGCCTCTCTGGGCCTTAGTTCCCACATCATTCAGGTAAAAGACTTTATTATGTAAGGTCCTTTGAATTTAGCATTCTAGAAAAGTCTTATCTGCTTCTGTTATATGATGTACCATTGTGAATACATTCCCTTGATTCTGCTCTGTTCCTGAAAACAATTAATTTTGTTTTTGTTCTTAGACTGCAGAATGAAAAATGGATGAATGTCAAAGTGGGAGACATCGTTAAATTAGAAAATAACCAATTTGTTGCCGTGAGTATTTAATATTGTTTATTACAGAATTTATCTCAGATTAAAATAGCATATGTACTGAAGTATTTACATTTGCACATTTGGTGAATCTATACTAATTCATAATAATTAAGAGAATACCAGAATGTATTAGTAGTCTCAATTATAAAATGTTGTTAAAAACATATTAATTACTTTGAATAGCATGGTAACTCAGATAAGCCTGAGTGATTATCTCTTTTTCAATTTCCCTTGTGATCTTTTAAATTAATAGATACAAAAGATTTTAAATCAAGCTGTCAATCATTTCATATAAATAAGAGCTTTTAAAATGCTCCAGAGTACTTTAAGAACAGTTTTTTTCTCACATATTTTGAATCCTATCCCTCAGTAATAGGATTATTACTGTTAATTTGCAATATAGGTGAAGACAATATATGCTGCTTCCTGAGTGATAACAGTCCGAAAATGTCTATTGATTGTTCTGAACTAATAAATGCTATTTATGAAGTTTTGCCTTGCATATCAAATGTACTATAATTTATATTCTCAAGCTGCCTATGTTACAGTTTCCTTGTTAAAATTCAAGGGGTCACTCTGAGAAACAAACTGAGGGTTCTAGAGGGGAGGGGGGTGGGGGATGGGTTAGCCTGGTGATGGGTATTAAAGAGGGCACGTATTGAATGGAGCACTGGCTGTTATACGCAAACAATCATGGAATCATGGAACACTACATCAAAGACTAATGATGAATGGTGATTAACATAATATAATAAAAAAAAGGAAAAAAATTCAAGGGGTCAGTTCAATGACTATAATATATGTGATGAACTGTAGTTCATATTAAATGAAGGGCAATAAAAGCTAACCAGATCAGAGATTAAGAATTCAAGTTATTGTAGTCTATATGTCAAATACGTACTAGATTACTTTTGAAAATTTTTGTGTTCAGTGCAGTTTTATGTATCAAGTTGTGTTCTTCATTAAATTTGAGACATTTTCCCACAGGAAAAAGGAATTGCCCCAAGATCTATTTACAAGAATAGCTCAGTTGAGACTCCTAACCATTCCCTTTCAGAAACAGTCTTCTTTCATTAATGCACTCTGTGTATACTGATCCTCTGGAACAGCCTATGCTAAGGAGACAGTGGACAGGCCAATAACAAAAGCACTCACCTACTAAAGAGAGAAATGTTTATTTCCCTAACAACCTCAATTCTTTGGAGAATAGCTGAGAACCAAAAATAAGCACAAAGGTGTTGGCACAGCCAAGACAGAGGTCTCACAGTCCGTGTTCTGTGGCCTGGGCTCCTTATATGTAGGACAGTCTGCTGGGTTCTCACATTATACAATTGACCCTCAAACCACACGGGTTTGAACTGTGCAGGTCACCTAATATGTGGGTTTTTTTTCCGATATATACAGTATAGTACTATAAATGTATTTTCTCTTCCTTATGATTTTCTTAACATTTTCATTTCTCTAGCTTACTTTATTGTAAGAATGCAGTGTATAATACAGCATACCAAAATAAGTGTTAATTAACTGTTTGTTATCAGTAAGGTCAACAGGAGGCTATTAATAGTTAAGTTGGCGGGAGTCAGAATTTACACATGGATTTTTGACTGTGTGGGGGATTGGTGCCTCTAAACCCCATGGTTGTTCAAGGGTCAGCTGTGTTTAATAATAGACACAATTTAAATTAGCTTATCTAGCTTATTTTCCAGCTCATTAAAGCTTAGCAACAGTACGTTAGAAGGTGGCATCTGACTGAGGTTTTGATTTGGATTTCCCTGATGCTGAGTGATATTGAGTGCTTTTTCATGTGTCTGTTGGCCATCTGGGTGTCATCTTTGGAAAAATGTCTTTTCCTGTCTTCTGCCCATTTCTTGATTGGATTATTCTTTGGGTGTTTAGTTTGATAAGTTCTTTATAGATTTTGGATACTAGCCCTTTATCTGAAATGTCATTTGCAAATATCTTCTCCCATTAAAAAAAAAAAAAGAAGGTGGCATCTGTTAGAAGAACACACCCTGTAAGAAAGATGGAAACAGATGCAGGTATCCTTTGTTATCTGAAAGTAGAGCGTTTCTATGAAGCCTTAAATAGGTCAACATGGTGTAAAGCAAAGAAGCAATTACCATTAATTTATATGGACAACTTTTGGAGTATTCCCAGGCCCCCAAAATAATCTCTCTCATGCCTTTCTGATACCTTAGGATACATCTTGCTAATGGATGCACAAAACAAGATAAAGCACAAATGTTCACAGATCATTCAAAGCTATGGTGGCTTGATGTCAAGATGCTGAGGGTAGTTCCCCGGGAAAGAGCTTGGTGGGGCCACTCTTGCTCTCCGGTGCACACTACCTCTGTAAGGGTTTACTGCAAAGCAAAGGCTGAATGCTGTTTTTACTTTTCCTTTTTCTCATAAAAATAAAAATCCTTTTCTGATTTCTTTCGGTTAATGAAAACAAGTGCTAATGTAGGTCTTTTGTAAAGTGAAGTGGTATAACGCAAACTTTCAAAAAGCTGGGGATACCTGTATAGTGGAAGGTCACCAAAGGGAATTGGGTTAGAACTGAGTCTGCTCCATTCCTTCAGTGACAGCACTCTATCTACTTTGACTTTGGTTTCTTCATGTATCACATCAAGGTGTTAGACCATTATATGATCTCTAAGATCCTTTCCAGCCTATGTGCTGTGACTCTCTGACCTGAGATGCCTGCAGGATTCTTGAAGGCAAAGAGCACATTGATTTGCTTGCTCTCTCACACCTAGGGCCATGCTGGATTGTAGGGGGCAGACAGACAGTAAGTGTTGGCTGAATGAATAAATGTCAGTCTTTTGTAAGAAAGAAGACGGAAAAATGGTTATAAACTTTAAAAATTCAGGGTGTTGTGGATCAATGGAATACTAATATACATCTATGTGCTCTAAGAAAAGATCACATATATTCAGGATTCTTTCCTTAAGAAGAAAGGGCTTCATATAACTTGTTTTAGTTCTACTTTCAATTAAAATGATTACAGTGAAATAGTTTTGCTGAACCTAGATAGTTAACCTTAACTTTTTTTTTAAACTGACATATATGGAATTCTAAGAAGTATGCATTAAAGGCATACTTTTTGGCAACTACTTTATGCCAGAAACGGTGTTAGATTATAGAGGAATTAGCAAAAAATTAAACTATGCCACACATTTAACTATTACTTTATTTGGAATGGAATATTTCAGTGGCAATGCTAGGTATATTCCAACTTCCGGTATTCATAAGAACTGTGCAAATCTCTGTACATGCTCTAACAGGGATAAATGTTAGACTGAAATCACCTGTTCACTAATACTCCATACTCTGGTGCGTTCATTTATCACATTCTTTCTGGTGAGTCCCAGAAAGGCAGGAATCAAACACATGTCTCAATGTAGGACCTCACGTAGGCCAGCTTATCTGTGCTCCAACTTGCCCTCTAGCCTTGATACACTAATCTGTATTTCCCTTGGTCTTCATTCTTAGTACACGTGCTTGTGTGCTCTTGCAAAACTCTATGGAATGAGGCATGAAAGGCAAGTGTAAGTGCAAGCATCAGGTGGAAGAAAAGTAGTTCGAAGGGCGTATCATTAGCATTGCTTTAAGATGAATCACACATTTAGACAAGTTTCCATGAAGTCAGTGATCTGTGTGTCCCAGCACTGTCCAAAAGAACTTTCTGCAGTGAAGGAATATATCTTTGTGCTGCCCAATGTGACAGCCAACAGCCCCATGTGGATACTGAGCACTTGAAATATGGCTAGTGCAACTGAGGAACTGAATTTAAAATTTTATTTCATTTTAATTTAGATTTTTTAAAAAGATTATTTGAGAGAGAGAGAGAGAAAGAGAGGCAGAGAGAGAAGCACACGCTCCACTGAGCAGGGAGCCCGATGTGGGACTTCATCCCAGGACCCCAGGATCATGACCTGAGCCAAAGGCAGATGCTTAACAGACTGAGCCACTCAGGTGCCCCAAGTTAGATTTTTTTGTTGTTGTTTAGATTTAAATAGCCATATGTGACTTGTGGCTACCTGATTGGGTGGCACAGATGTGGCCTTTTAATTGTGGCTGCATGATGGGACGGGAATGCTTATTCTCCCCTCTTCCGTAGGTCTCATTCTTTATATTTTTCACTTGGAGGGACAGCCCCAAAATAACACTTTGAGCTTCTTGAACTTCCTTGCCCACTCTCCTCTCCTAGGAGTGACTTCTCTGATTGCTGTATTTGAGGGCAGGGAGTGTGTGCATGACCCAGAGCCTCCTTCCTTCCCTTTCTCTTTGGGCTCTGCCTGTGTGCACAGTACATTCTGCCCTGCTCCTTCAGTCCAACGATTTTACAGGAGGAGATCCTCATGGTGTGGGTGGTGGGAGGGTCTTGGTAATTTAGAGCTTCCCTTGTCTATAGCTAGATGAGTCTAACAGGTCAAGTACTAGCAAGCCCACAGACCTGTAGCCTGGTCTCCAGCAGCTTGCTTGCTATTTTATTTTATTTTAGAGAGAGTGAGCGGGGGTGGGGGAGGAGCAGAGGGAGAGGGACAAGCAGACTCCATGCTAAGTGCAGAGTCTGACTCGGGGCTCAGTCTCAGGACCCTGAGATCAGGACCTGAGCTGATACCAAGAGTAGGATGCTTAACTGACCGAGCCACCTGGGTGACCCTCCAACAGCTTGATTAATAACAAAGATGAAATTTTTACCTCCATTGATCTTGGTCTGATTCCTACAATTATAGCTCTGTTGGTTTAATCTTTGGATAAGTGAGGAAAGGAGTCCTCCAAATGCCAAAACTCTGTGGTGTTTCTTGATTAACTCACTTTGTTCAAAGTTTTTCTATGTTTAACTACTGGGCACCTATAAAACTATTTTTTCAGGGCAAACAAATGTTTTTATGGGTGAACTGCTATAATCACTTAGAAGTATATACATACCTCCTGCTCCCTGAGGTTTAACTCACTTAGTCTCTGCAGTAGCTCAATGAAGGCAGGTTATG